CGAATCGTTTACATTCATTTCAACCGCGTATTTCTTATCGTCCATGATACCGCAAAGCCCAGAATCCACATTGAACACCTCCGGAAATTCAGCCGTTATACGGGATATGCCGTACTCCGATCCCGATTCACTTCCTCTGCACGTTTCAGATGAAACCGTATGCTGAGCTATTGGCACCTTGCCATTTTTGCACGCTTCATGTATGTTACCTAAACGTCCACACTCACGACATTTTGCAGTTTTGAAACGACACTGATTCGTCAAATGATCATACGCATTGCATCGGTAACACTGTTTGCCACCACTAGCCTGACCAGACCCTTTGGCTTTTTCGCTCTTCTGAAATCGCCACTGATCTCGGTAACAACAAATCTGTTCCAAACGCCAGCAATCAGCTGATCAATCAACATTTCATCCAATGCATCACCAAATGTACAGTAATGTGCAGCTTTTTTCATGCGCACCCTGTAGTCATAAACAGACTCATTGTTGTTGCAAACTGCGCGAAATTTCAATCTGTCGGCCCGGGCAGTATGCGTGCCACCATCCAGGGCCTTTTTAAATACACCATACGACTTTTCTGTAGGCTTTTCCGGCGATACTAAGTCTTTCAACGTTTGGTATTGGGCTGGAGACAAGCCCATGATAATAAAAAAAACGAAATAGGGGTTTTCGTCAACCTTTGTTTTGTGTACTCTAAAGTAACATTTTAGCCTCTCCTCGAATGACTCGAAGACTTCATCATCTTCCACGAATTTCGGTAGTTGTTTTGAAGCCTTCACTCGGTCGCCAGTGTAGTGTAGTCGAGGAAGGGAGAGAAAACCACTTGTAAACATTTACAAACGATATTTATTATTGTGCAGCCATATTGGAATACCATGCATAATGCTTTGTGCGTACTCGTGTTAGTACCAATTATTACTGCTAGAGGAAAAGACCAGACGGTGTCAGAAATACCCTGAATTACTAACCATGAATACATCACAAAAGTACTCATTTTACGAAAGTAGCACCACATGATGTGTACACAGTGTTTACACATCCAGTACACAGCCGAGCGAATGGTGTGCTGCATTAACGCTGAGAGGATCTATGTCCCCCAGGGTACTACCGGAACGTACCCTGGTACTTTGTAATATGCTGGACCATACCTCGCCTACTCCACTAACGAGTCTAGGGAGTCGCCTACGCCTACTCCCTAGACCTAACCCTAACCATATCAGATAGTTACCAGGGTACGTTCCGGTATACCGGACCGTACCCAGAGTACGTTGCGGCAGTACCCTGAGGGACATAGACCCTATGAGCTGCATTCACAGTTCTTTTCTGTGATAACACATGTTATACTTTACACAGCGGCTATGCATCCTGCCATCCAATACAAAGCTCAGCACAGATTCACAAATCCCCGTCACAATTAGGCCACACCTCCTTTCAAATCGTTGATTTTACTGGATTTACTATTGCATCAAAAGTTACAAAAACACATTTTTTGATAAAATACTTAAAAGTAAGTAATATTATGGTAAAAAGTTATTGTTTGTTTTTTACTGAAAAAATATAGTTTGGTTCACATAAGAAATATATGACCGGACACGTAGCCTGGGAGCTGGGCATCCGGTAACCGGACTTGTAGCAACGGCCTATACTTAAAAAATAACTTATGTGTATCTATACGCCAAAGGACGAAGTTATCAAAATGCTCTAGTTCGGAGCACATTTCTGGCTCAATTAGAACATTTCGAGATGTTTGCATACTGCAAGTATGCTCACGGTAGGTTATGTAGGCATTTTGTTGCAAGGTTTTTTTCACTTAATCAAATATGTTTAAAGGACAATTGAAGTCAAATTTTATAATTTCTGTAACGTTTTTATACATATAAATACATTCAATAACGTATTCCATTTCAAATCCGGCGCCCAATTTGTAAGAAACACATGAATATTAATCTAGGTCATGTGACGTCACAGCCCCCCGTTGAAACACGCCATTATATAGCGTAACAGTGCTAACACGCTAGTATATGTTATGCTAGGTGAAAGTATTCTTACAGCGTACAACAAACATGTAGCCTGTAAATGTACTTATATTCATGTACATACATATTACCTGTGTGGGTAATGCATTCACGGTATATGTACATGACTTGCGTAGAGATGTTTGTACATGTACAGATACATATGTGATTCTGACCGAGCGTGATAAGCCCGGTGATCAGTGTACTCGCATGCCTCACCTGGTCTAGTGTCAAACTGGTCTACAATAACCCTGATCTTCTCATTCTCATGGCAGCATATACATTCAGGTGCCGTACTCATTAATTCACAAACACTACAAGAACACCAGCAGGGCCCTCGCTACCCACTCGCCAATTCGCCAATGGCGAACAAATTAGTAATCTGGCGATTGAAAGTCTTATTTGGCGAAAAAAGTGACGAACGTAATTTTCCCGTAATAAACATGACCCAGCAAACATCGATCCTATTTGATCGTCGAAACAGCAACGTTTCTTTTTGCGTGCCGGCACATTCCCGGCGGCGGCGGCGGTTTCATTCCCGATTGCAGCTTTTTCCTCGATTGCGGGAAAGTTTTGCTGTCGCTCCCTCATACCAGCGCGGTGCCCACCCCTAGATATACAGCAATAACCACACACACGCGACTGTAACAATCAGTGCATTTGCCCCCCCCCACCCCCACCCCCGTACTTCAATCAATGCCGCCCAGCCAGCAAGCACGAGCCACGATGTGCACAGCCACGGACGTGAGTAACAGGGGTGTCGCAGGCTGCTTTTTTCGTTTTTTTTTCTTTGGCGTGAATGCGGGAGAATGGGTGCAGATGCGTGAGTCTCCCACGAAATGCGCAGCGTGAGACTTAGTAGGTCTGCTAACAGAGTAGATTTAAAGCTATAAGGTAATATTTTATTTTTGGGGCGCATCAAATGCAGTCTAAGACATTCAAATGTTTTAAATTTTGCTGGGGAGACCCCCAGAACCCCTTCTACCTCTCTCCCTCCGCGTCTGCCTGCAGAATCCACATTCGTGCCTACTGCACGCCTTTGAATCCATCATGTGCGTTTTCCCCCAAACTGGGCATTACCACCGTTGTCTAATTTTCCATCAGAAGAAACCCTGGGGTTTAAAAAAGGCCTGTCTCCACACACGGCACGGCACGGCACGGCAACGGCGCTGGCAAAAGTTAAATGATTTTTACTACGCCTGTGCGTGCACGTGTGTGTGTGCGCGCGCGTGCGTGCGTGTGCGTGCGTGTAGGTGTGTGTTTGTGTGTGTACTGTGTGTGAGCCGTGAGGTACTGTAAAAAGTAGTAAAACTGATAAGTACTAACTGGGGAATATAGTCAGCTTTGATGAGCAGCAAATTTTTCTGGTTCATTAGCATCCCGAAGTTACAAAAGTAGTAGAGTATATATGTATGTGCTGTGAAAACTCTTCTGTAAACGATTAGTATTACTGTAAATAACTATAATGTGTGTATAGTACTGTCTATACTGTACTGCGCGCGTGCGTGCGTGCGTGCATGCGCGTGCGTGCGTATTGTGCGTCAGGTACTGTAAAAAGTAGTTGTTTGTGACCCTACCATCCACAACAGTTGATGTGGAGAGGGGTTTTAGCAGACATAATTTGGTTAAAACAGCTCTGAGAAATCACCTGAAAACAGAAAGTGTTTGTGACATTCTAACCATCAAAATTGAAGGCCCAGAAGAAGAGATGTTTGACTTTGAAAAGTGCTATGTCCAGTGGTGTGCCAAAAAAGATAGGAGTATTTTCCTGCCAGCAGTCTCAGTCATAGACATGTGGTTGAATAATAGTTTGTTTGCATTAAATAAGTGTAGTTTTGTGAAAAAATAAAAAAAATAAAAATTATTTATCGCCTGTTTGTGTTCATAAAATGTTAGGCTACAGATGTGGCTAACAGGAATCCAAATTGGCTAATGAAAATTGATTCTGGCTAATTGTTTGGCTACAGAAAAAAAAATCCTAGCTAGGGCCCTGCACCAGTATTTGTCTACAGTCCTATCTGGTACCGAAGCTACCATTCCGCCATGTTGTGACTGTTCTGATTCTTGAGAAGTTTGTGCCGACTCTTCGCGTTGCTTTTTCAGACGATTCTCCTCAATTTCTTCTTGTGTATATTCAGGCTCAAACCTATATCCAACTGGTAAATCACTATAAATATCATCATCATCTGAGTAATCACTAGAATCATTGAAATTATCGCTTTCTGTCTCCATCTTATACACCACACGCACTATCTTTACATAATGGCGTGTTTCAACAGGGGCTGTGACGTCACATGACCTAGATTAATATTCATGTGTTTCTTACTGCGGATTTGAACTGCGGGCGCCGGATTTGAAATGGAATACGTTATTGAATGTATTTATATGTATAAAAACGTTGCAGAAGTTATAAAATTTGACTTCAATTGTCCTTTAAACTTTTTCATGAATTCGAAAAGGGGACATTGTGATAACAGTTTTATTTAATAGGTTCCTTGATGCAATCTTGAATGTGTAAAGAAAGTAGGGAAAGTGCAGTTAATAGAGCAAGTGTGTCATGCATTGAAAGTGGGAATCAAATCCTTCATATGTTAAAAGTTACCTATGAACGAGCAAAATTAATGAGGAGAGATGTAGAATATGTGAATTATATGAATTATAATGTTGGCATTGCATGAGAAGTCAGATAGATCTACAATATAGTAAGATTATTTTGACTACCACACTATAATGTGATAACAGCAACATGAACACATATCTACTACAGGTTAAATTGACAGAAATTTTCACATTTGAGTTTTCTCAATGTTTACTTACACGTGGTGCTACATAGCATACTATACGGTTCTATACAGCATACATCATGTGCTATACAGAATTAAAAATGCCACTCAGACGGATGTCAGTCATTCCTTACAAAACAGAGATGTAATCAATGTTACTCATTTGTAAGAGAATAGCAAGAAATAATAGCATACATACACATCTTCTTAATGGCTCCCAGTAGAACGTCACAGCTGCATTTGGGTTGGCCTCCTAATACACAAGGAAATACATTTTAAAGAAGAACAATACCAGGTATATACCAAACTGTAATGATATAATAAGTTAATAACCGTAGCTGTCCATGCACAGGAACAAATTTCACGAATCTCACTCATATAAAACCTGATAATTCATTCTTTAAACGTACCAGATCCTTGCCTTTTCTACTCTGATAATTTGAGTAGAAAACGAAGCCCTTCTCACAGAAGCCTTTAAGCAGCATAGGCCTAACTGATGGAATAGAATACCTGAAAAGCGAAAGAGAATGTTGTCATGATGTAGCAGTAAATAGTACAACACAACTTATCAATACATAACCAACAGCTGGATCACACACTTTATATAAGTGCTAGGTGGCACTACTCTGCACATTTATGTATGTTGGTATATCGAGAAAGTGATGACCTATTTTCATCCATGAAGTATGATATTTCATACATGAACGAAGGTTTAGTGCTAAAAAAAATATGAAGATTCCTGGATGTACTTGCCTACTGGATGTAGCAAGAAACATTGCATTAGGCTCGAGGATTGCATCACATTCTGTGGCAGTTCGAAACCATTTCTCAAAAAGAGCAAAGGGATCCTTGATTTCTATTTGGTCTTCTGTGAAAGTTTCATTCGCAGATTTGTATGGAATCCTCATACCTAAACATAAATGAATAAAGCAGTAAAGTAGCACGTTCTGATGCACCGTTTTGTAAGTAATATTACTATTAGTAATATAATTTATATGGGATAGTTTAATAAAATCCAAATATTAACTTAGTTGTTAGACATGATTGCCTAATTACATAAGACGGGCTTTTCTATGTCATGTTCATGGGCCAAGCAAGAAGTAAAGATTTCCCAATCGCTGATTATCACAGGCATTTTCCAGACTTATGTTCCCAGTCTCCTGCGATGTATCAGCAGAGGCCCATGTTGAGTAATCTTTATTTGGTCAGGCTAGGAGAAATTATACTTGTATCGTTACCATCGTATTTACAGTTATCGCAATGACTGCCTGTTTACAGCTGCCATTTGCAATAATGCGGCCAGCCGAAACATGACTTCCCAAGTCAGCAGTGTGACGTCACATGAGAAGCGATCTTCACATAGCTCGTTTTCATATAATTCCTTTACAAAATCGCGTTACAAAACATTCAGAGTATTTCAGAAAAGTTTCACAAATGCATATAGTTGAAAAATATCATAGCTACACATTACTTGGTTTAACATACATACTTTTTTGGGTTCGCATAGGCTTTAATAACACACATAAATTAGATGTATGTTCACGTTTAGTATAATCGTATAGAAAGTGATGGGGCAGCGCTACCATTTATTTTTCTAGGTTATTTTCATGCTATTTGTGGAATAGAGAAACAAATTGAGATCCCGGGAGAGAGATCATCCCTTAGCATTATCAGTCTTAATCAGAACAGCTGGGCAAACATAAGCAAAGTATAATAATTGTCTGGCATTCTGATATATTTTTTCGTGAAAAATCGCGCATATTTAAGATATGGCCCTTGAAACATCACCTGTCAACAAGACACTCGCGTTCGGCAAACATCGGAAATTTCAGGATTTGACGTCATTTTCAGGACCCACCTCGCCTAGTTACGCCACGCTAACTATAGAAGTGAACGAGCGTGTTTGTAGTTTGAGTCAAATTTATCTAATTTTTACGATGCCACGCAGATGTGTTGCGGCCAATTGCTCGCACACAGGTAGTAAATTGTATGAGTGGCCGAAAGACGAATCCCTGAGAAAGAAATGGACAGCATTTGTATAATCTAAGCGAGCGAAGTGGGTGGTATCCGACACAAGTGTGCTGTGTATGAAGCATTTCACGGAACTGTTTCCTTAACTTCATGGCTTTTCAGCAAGGATTTGCGAAACAGTAAGCCAAATTTTTCTGTGATGTACCTATACTTGGATCATATAGTCATCTTGTGCTCTCTAAGTATCTGTCCCGTACGTGACTGTACGTATACGTAGCTGCACACGCCACACAAGCCCTGGCGTCCAGCTGAACTGGCACTAGTTGGAGAGTGAATCTGTACCCGTGTATCGACGGGGTTTCTTCATAATATAGAACTAGTGTACTAAACGTCATAACCTCGTAAATAATAGTCTTCAAAGTCCAAGGGACTATACCGATATGATATATATATATATATACATATATATATATATATGTATAATATATATATATTTATATATATATATATATATATGTATAATATATGTGTGTGCGTGTGCGTGGGTTCGTGCATGCGTGCGTGTGTCTGTTGTGTGTGTGTGTGTT